CGTATAAAGCTTTGTAATAATGTTAGCCCTTCATCTCATTAGTTTAGTCATGTTTGAACTGTTAAGGTAGGAAACATGACATAAAGATTGGCCATTAACTAGGCCTCGCGACGTTGTTAGTTGAATAAAGAATAGCGTGAAAATGTCAAACCATATTGCTAGTTTATTCTGATATCTGATTTAGTTGTGAAAGGAATGATATAAGTTGTACGTTCTTATGTGGCATTATAACAGGTATCTATAGAACCATTAGTGGATGGTAAGTTGAGTTGTTATGGCTCATTATGATGTTAAAGTACTACGAATGTTTCAAGATATACAAATATGTGGCATGTAAGGCAATGTTGTTAATCAATTTGTATAATAATTCCCTCTCTTATCAATTTGATGCCTATTTACCATCCTAATTAAATAATTAGTCCTATTAGGTTAAAAACAAGTGTATGAGAATAAGATGAGATATACAAATTGCAACACTTTATATCAACAATAATTAGAAATAGGACTTGCACTAAATAGAAATAATAAAAGTTCTTGAAAAATATTCTTCCCTTTATAGATCATTTTAGTTTCATATACAATTCATTATTGGGCATATAGATACATATGTTGTATTTGCAAAAAATAGTGTTAATCATATTTTTACGCTTTTCTTTGAATTTGAATAGTCTGGCTGAATATAATTTATATCCGGAAATTATAATCGACGGGTAACATTTAATAAATTGCAAGTTCTTTTCAAGAATTCAAGGGTATCTTAAATGGAGATTTCTCATGATATAATAAACAATTTGGAGAAAAAGGCCATTAACAAAGATTTTGCGCAATCCGGGATGCGTTCGCGCACCCTGATTATATAAAAAAAAAGAGCAAATTCGGATTATGCGTACGCGCAATTTCGAGCGAATATTTTAATAAAAATGATTTCTCCGCGGATGTCAAAATAATTTCATATAACCCGAGGTGTGCAGTTCATTATTTAAATAAAAAGGGTGATGATGTTCCTGATTTTGTTTTAAATCTCGAAAATATATTTTTTTTTTTATAAAAACTAAACATGAACAATTTTATTGTGTGCACGTACGCGTGGCATGATCCCCGATAATTATAAAAAGTATATAATACGAATATACGTACGCGTAATTCGTCCATATAATTGTAAACAATAAGTAAAAAAAAACGGTAATAAAATCATGCAATAAAAACGTATTTAGTAAAATCAAGATAATTAAGCCAATAATAAAAACAGTTAAGCGACCGTGCTAGAACCACGGAATTCGGAAATGCCTAACACCTTCTTCCGAATTAACAGAATTCCTTACTCAGGATTTCTGGTTCGCAGAATAATAAACAGAGTCATATTCTCCTCGATTCAGGGATTAAAATTGGTGACTTGGGACGCCTTAAAATTCTCAGGTGGCGACTCTGAAACAAAACAAATAAATCCCATTTCGACTGTCCTTTAATTGGAAAAACTCCCTTGTACCCTCGCGGGCGCGGTAAAAAGGAGGTGTGACATTACTATTGCACAATGGTGGAGTAACAGAAGCCATAGCTAGATAACTAAATTGCTTTTAATTTGGTTTCCTTAACTTGAAAATTTTAGGGGTTCTGCCTTTCCTTATACAGCCCTAATAAAATATGATAGTAAGTTATATACATTGATAGGGTAATGAATTTTTGACCAGTGTAATTTAACAAATTATTTACCATTTGTTTTAAGTTACTAATCGATGGTATTAAACAGTGACTTATAATTATTTTTTAAATGACTTGAATTACATTGACAGTGCATAGAATCTTTGCTCAATAAAATGTATGGATTTACAGGCTCATCAACCACTCCCAAAAATAAAGGATGATGAGTGGGAAATCATATTATTTGATAGTACGAGGATCGATCAAGCGTTTCATTAAAAGCAGAATCGTGCTTTTAAAAGAAGAAAACATATATTAATAATAATTTCCACTATAATCCTTTTAAATTGTCGATCGATTATTCATAAATTTTGTCGATGAATTTGAAAACTGTTCTTCATCAATAAATTTTATATTCAGTTTTTGGTCTAGATACATCATTTGAGTATATTTGATTTCCTCTTTAATATTTTGTCAATATCTGCATTTTATTGAAAGTTATATTGAGTAGATATTGTTAATCCCCTCTTTTAAGAATTTTTTTATTTTTTAATCTTTGTAAATTAAAGTCCATACTTATAATAAGGAGTAAAATATCAGAGTTTGTCTTTACGGGGCGTGAGAGTAGAATTAGTAGGGGCATTTGCATCTATATCCGTTTTTGTGTCACGTTTTAACTTGTACCCGCTTTGTAAAAAAATTGCAAGCGTACCCGCTTTTTCGCATGACTTCAGCATACGGGGCTGAAGTAGTAAAGACAATCACGCAAAACTTCAGCATTCTAGTAGTCGGGCCTGAAGTTCAGCTCTGGAACTGAAGTTTTTGTTTTGTAACTGTCGAACTTCAGCTCTAGAGCTGAAGTTTTTGTTTGTAAGCTTTAGCTCTAGAGCTGAAGTTTTTGTTTGTAACTGGCGAACTTCAGCTCTAAAGCTGAAGTTTTTGTTTGTAAGCTTCAGCTATAGAGATGAAGTTTTTGTTTTGTAACTGTCGAACTTCAGCTCTAGAGCTGAAGTTTTTGTTTGTAAGCTTTAGCTCTAGAGCTGAAGTTTTTGTTTGTAACTGGCGAACTTCAGCTCTAAAGCTGAAGTTTTTGTTTGTAAGCTTCAGCTATAGAGATGAAGTTTTTGTTTTGTAACTGTCGAACTTCAGCTCTAGAGCTGAAGTTTTTTCTGGAAAATCAGCTTTTTATGTTATTATCCGTTTTAAATGCAGCAACCTCATTTCGTCTTATTGTCCGCTTTAAATGCAGCAACCTCATTTCGTCTAACTCACACTCAACTTTGCTCAACCATTTTTATTGCTAAACAACTGATATTCGAAAATACATTATACAGTTTTATTATACATTCAGATAACGCAAATTTTTCTTTTTCTGAACATAGAAACATCTAATTCACATATACAAGGTTAGCTTTCTACTTGCTTCAATTATGCTTCTGGCTATAGCAATAAGTTTCTCCACAAATTATGTTGGAAAAATCCCAAGTACTAGAGGCTCTTTCTAAAAATGATTATTAATTTCTTGAAAACGAAATCCTAAATAAAATCGTTGTGTGAATACAAGTTATATACATAGCCATAACAGATTTCTTGCAGAAAAGGGAGAAGGAGAAGTTTGAGAAAGAAGAGGCGGATATAACTTTGAGGAGGAGAAGGAGGAGGAGAAAGGGGGCTGAAGTTGTTTAAAAAGTGGGTACAAGTTAAAAAAAAATTTAAAAAATGAATATAGATTAAATGAGGGCGACCAAATAGGGCGACCCGTATAATTTTTACAATTACCGTGCAATATTAGCTTTGTCGTTGCACCGCATGCATCTTGAATGTGTAATTAATGATTATATGACTCCTCGGAGTAGTAAAGGTGAAATTGAAAAAATTAAATTATTTTAATTTTCTAAAGTGACAAATATTTTGGACCATTTTCTGACATAACAGATGAAAACCTGAACTAATTGGTTGTGGGGTGGGTAGCTCACAGTGCATTTGCTATGTTACTCAAGTCATTTCCCACAAATTGAGAGAAAATAGTTCTCTTTAGGAAAATATTTTTCTAAGCATTTAATTTAACCAAACATGAAAAATTGGACCAAACTCACCCCTTTATGTCGTTGTTCTAAAAATTACTCATCAACTCATGTGACGTGGTTTGACTCTTTTGAAACTTGTGATTTTAAACATGTACTGATATCATTTGTGTGGTTATAAAAATTCTTATTAAAAGTAAAATAACTAATTTAAAATTAAATTATTTTTAAGTATAAAAATATATCTTTTTTTAAGGGGACTAATTAAAAAATTGTCATATAAACTGATATAGTGAGAGTAATAAAGATAAAGTTCAAATAACAAAGTAGTTATACTTATTCAGTGAATGTTCATCTAAATGCAAAATCTTAATATTAAGCTATCTATTTAGTCTCAAACAACTTAATCTTAATTAAAATAAATGGAGGCAAATGTCTACATTGGATGTGTAATGGGTAACTTTTAAAACGTACTGTACTAGTTAATACTATATTACAGTGAACGCGTAAAATATGGAAGCTACAGAAATCTAAACATCTAGAGATTTCAAAACAAAATAGTTAGGTCAACCCCACGGGCAGCTGTGAGCAACAGTGAGGAGCAATAAGCAAACCTTCTACCTCAATCAATCTTGCCAATATATCCTAGTTTTAAAAGCAACATCCGAGAAAAAATGATCCCTTAGGTGTGCATTGTAAAGTTTTAGTCCTTTTAAGTTTATCAAAAGTTAGCACCTTTGGCTTCCATAAAAATTAACAATTTATATTCGTTAGATTTGACGAAAACTGTGGGGGAATTTAACCTTAAACACCAAGAAAGTCCCATCAAATCTTGAAAATTGTAATGCACAAAACTATACTAGACACCAAAATATATGAAAAGTAATAGAAAATACGCCTCGAAAACCTACTCTAGACTCTAGAAATGGATCAAAAATAGCATAAACTACAAAAATTGTACCTCTGAATGTGAGTTCTCGCTAAATTTTTTTCACAGTTCCCGTGAAATATAACATACAAAAAAAAGGCATTTGTCATCTTCTCAGCTACATCCAGAGCAAGTATTTTGAAGATAAGAAATTAGGTATTTGAATCCTGCTGGTTCCCAAATTAGAACTCAAACTTACTCCTCATTGCTTTTGGACCTCTTCTCTAGTCAATAAACAATTTTGCGTCATTTTGCCTCGTTGAATGAACAACATAGGGAATGAATAAGCATTATTGTCTATCTTTCATTTTATTTGAGTGTGTTCAATACACGATCAACTAGCCTGTTTGATCATGCCAAAGGCTTGAACATCCAAACTACTAGTAATTTATGCACAAAAGAAACCAAAGGACAGTACCTAATAAAAAATTGATACTGTTAGGCTCTAATCATCTCTTACATAGACACGCTCTGGATATTGGGTACAAAATAAAACAATGATGTGACGTTTTACCCGAGAAATTCAAAAATATTTGGTTCTCTTTCCCCATTTTTAGACCGAAACAGGGGGTAGCATGAATAATAACATCCTTTCTCTTCCAGATGTCAAGTGACTTCCTTCTGATGGAAGTACATAACGAACAGGCTCCACAAATTTAGACAAGCAATCCGAAAGCATCTGCATACCTTCCAAAACTCTGTGGCCCAGCAACGTCTATATGGCATGAAAAAGTAGAGCAAGGAAACTACTATGGCAATCCAAAAAGTGAATGATCTTGAAAGTCAAGTAGGCAAAACAGGGCAAAGAAAACCTGAAATAAAAGCACAAGTTGCTTCTGTAGTTGGCTAGCGGAAAAGCCTCGGTACTGATCCTTTTGGAATCTTGCCTTCAAGTTTTAGCCTTCTATACGCTTCTCTCATGTGACACGGCCTGATTGGCCCTGTATCCTTTCTCTCCGCCATCACCATTCTAGCTGGATAAAAGAATTCCACGGAAAGATACAGTGATTACTTGGGATAGAATGATGCATTTTCAACTAAAACTACTACTTAAAAGATTGGTCCAGGCACCTTTCTGTTAATGAAGCCATAAAGCTCAGTAAGTCAATTGTGGGAAGAAGGTACAGGAGAGGCAGTTAAAGAGAGTGAAATTGAGCTCTGATGAAGAGAGGGCAGCGGCATCAAAGAGATGGTAGGATGCTTGGGTCAAAAGGGGCAAGAATATCATTACACTTTTTCTCGGTCTAAAAGTTCTAATCTTCCTATCCCTAGATGACACGTCTAGCTTTTTGAATCAACAGAACACATGTCAAATGCTACTTCAGACACGTCACAGATGCTAGCAAGCACAGTCCTTTTCCTTTACAGTTTGAATTGTGATGAGTCTGTCAATAGAAGCCATTTTGGTGTTACTCTTATAGTATCAAGTTTAAGAGATAAAGTGCTTTAACACTTTACTGGGCAGCATGCTCATTCGTGGATGGTTCTAAAGGCTGCTACTGCATTTACCCATTACTGAATCGACTAAGTCTATTATGCCTCACTGGAAAAGATATTTCGGGCTCATCTACTTTTCTAATATAAATTTGTAAATGCTTGCCAACCTGTTTCAACAAGCTCACCGACAAACAATTTTGCTATACCAGACACCACAATTGTCATTGGAACAGATATCTTTGCACTTCCTGTGATACTGGTCAGTAACTGCATAGACAACATAGGCAAAGAGTGATGACACATAAAATCAAATCATGCACAATACATTATGAAAGTGGACAAGCAAATATCTCAATGGTGTCATTAAGATTTAAGGTTCTAAAAATGTATGTTCTCGGTGAAAGACAAAATACTAATTGCTTTAATTGGCTGAATGGAAGGAACTGGTCAAATATCAGATGAGAAGGCCCTCCAACCTTAAAATATGGAAGTCTGGAAGCAGAACTAGCATTACGACTAGACGTGAAAATTGGAGTTGGCAAATAAGAGTCTTCTTGTAACGGAGATTAGCATTTTTCTACTTATTCTATTCCTGTTGTTAATTTATTGGTTCGTATTAACTGAACTGTTCACTTAGAAAGCCTAGGCACATATTAGAAAGATTAATTGACAGAGAATGAAGAGCCGTTACCCCATTTTCTTCTCAGTATACCCCATTTTGTCTAAACCCCCTGTCCCGGTCTCCCGGACAACGAACGACAAACATCTGAATAGGGCAATACATGCCGACAAGAGAGGGAAGAAAACAGTCTGAAATTATCCTCTATGGTACTTTTGGGTGATAATACCAATCATCTGTAACACATCGAGAAAAGGAAACATAAGAGGCTAAAAGGAGGAGATAGCGAGAGCATCAAAGACATACCCGCTTCATGTTAGATTTCTGAAAACCAGACCTACGGAAAGATTCATACCGACTCATTTGCTGCTCTGTAAATTGGGATAGTATAGACCTGCAAAAAAGAATCTATATAAAGATTGAAATACAATAGCATCCAAATAGTACTATATGGATGCCAATAATGATGTATCTTTTTTTAATAAGTAAAAATAATGTATTTACTCAGTAATGAGCTAATCGGACTAAGGTAGCTGTGCTGTGAGGTTAATTCCTCTGGAGAGGGTAAGGGTAAGTTTCTGATAAGGTATAGTTTGTAGGAACCAAATTTTTCATGCCAACAAAGCAGGCAGTCAAGGACCGCAACTATTAGTTTTTTGCAATGGCCTGTTTATGTGCCACATGAGATTAGCATCACATGAGTGGGCCTGTGAATGCAGAAATGCCGGTGAGATTAGCAGCCACAAGGATTCCAAATCTCAACCCCTACTTCTTATGGCTTATGTTAGCACTTGAACAAGAGACATTTAAGACGACGACAATTTTGAAAATGTCCTCCTCAGGGAGGAAAGCACTAAGAGGTTGTGATGGTAAGCAACCTTCACTTCCAACTAAGAGGTTGTGAGTTCGAGTCTTCCCAAGAGCAAGGTGGGAAGTTCTTGGAGGGAAGGATGTCGGGGGTCTATTTGGAAACAGCCTCTCTATCCCAGGGTAGGGGTAGGGTCTACGTACACACTACCCTCCCCAGACCCCACTAAGTGGGATTATACTGGGTTGTTGTTGTAGGGAGGAAAGCACCACAGAAACATGCTTACCCATGTTGTTCTAATGTTCATAAAACATGGAATAAACAACATAGTCTTTACCTAACAGATCGACAACATGTTTTCAAACCAAATTTGACCCTCTTCCTTAAAATGTGATAGCAACTCTCTATTACCAGGTAGAGGAATACTGGGAATTGGCCAAAATTTTGCATTGGATCTTATTTTAAACTTTCATTTGATGTTTCCTCTATCAAATTAACTTTATATTTTCTTCCTTTTCCACTAATACAATACATAAGTCAAATTAACATCTTGAGCTCCGCATCCAACAAACAAAGTTTTATAAGATGACATAGAGGGAGTATATAGGTTTGTAAAACATCAAATCATGAGTTTCAGCTTTCTTGATGGTTTGCACAGGTTTGGCAGTTTCCTAGACATCCCTCACTTTCAAAAGGAAAAATCTAATCAGAAAAGTACTAACTGCAATGAGCTACTTCTATTTTTATTGGTGATGCAATGACTCCAATACCATCTACATTAGTCACCTTCCCATTTTGCCCCTAACTTACTAATCCCGGTACCAGCAAAACTAGGTACCTTGCTGGAAAGGCAATATTTTCATTGCTACCAGGAGGCACCTCACACATTTATGGATAGAGCTAGTTTAAAAGAACAAATAGCATTTGCTTTTTCCCGCAGGTACTTACGAGCATCATATTAAGCAAGATGCCTCATCAAATTTTATAACAGATCTTAATACAAGAATCCAACTGGTTATGGACTTATAAGTACTCCAAAATTCATAAAGCAAATATCCTAAAGGTAGAGGCGCATAACAACATACTAAAGACAGAAGTGACGTAAGCATTTCTTGTAGCAAATAGACAAGCAGGAAGGAAATGGGAGAGCGAGATAATAATATTGATAACTATGAAAAAGCAGTTTTTCATTGTGTACAAATAACATTTATTAAGTAGTCCAACCAGATTTTCGAAGAGTGAAATCCATAAAGCAGAATGCTAAAGAACAAGGACCGATAGGCTTCTTGTTGATAAAAGGAACTTAAAAATAAAATAAAATAAATAAAATCAAAGACTTACTGCATCTTCACCACTTTATCAGGATCACTGCTTGATGCGAACTTTCCTAACTCCACATCCATGTTTTCTTCCTCTTCCTCCTCATCTTCCTCTTTTGTTTTACTACTTGGACCAGCAGTACCAACAGGAATTGGTGCAGTTATAGATGTCAAACGATTTCCTTGACCAGGATTGATGTTAACATCATCATCTACATGAACACTATCATTAGGTGCAGCTTGGTCTTCGTTTTCATTCTCGTCAAGGCCAACAGGGGATTCAGGGGGCGAGCCCTCCTGTTCCTCAATGGCAGCTTCAAAAGGATCCTTGGAATGCTTCATAGTATTATCTGCAGCAAAAAGTGAGACCTTAATGAAGTATACAACAAGCTTAGAACTTATCCATCTTTAGTAAGATTACCAGAATTCAAATCACAAACTTTAGATGTGCCGTATTAAGTTACTCGTGAGATGGAGACTAGGGAATGGTGTTATGTAAGACCGTTCGACTAGGTTGATTAGTAACTAATGATAGCTTCAAAATCTTTATCGCCGCATATCATTAAGTCATTTCTTGATAAGGATATTCTTTAAGTTATTTGTAATAGCAAGAATTATAAGGCAACAAAACAAATTGTAAAGCATCAGGAGAGAAAATGAATGTAATGGGTCCTAATGGGGCGAAACGATTATTTGAGCAAACCATATAGCCGACTTCAACTAGCTCGAGATTTAGGTATTGCAACACTGTTAAAGAAGATACAATGATATTTTACGTCAAAGAAGTTACAATTTATATTAGAAGCAACCCCATCTTCCTAGAATATGAATTGAAATAAACATAGTGGTCACGGAAAAACAATTCAGAAAAGAAGCAGCACAACAACAGCAGTTTACTCCATTTCATATAAGGTCACTTTACTTCTTCAATAATTTGATTCAGTCTGCAAACAGGAAAAACCTATTTACACTAGGGAAGATGCTTATCAATGCTAAGAGTGTTCTTCTTGATTGTTTAAAACAGGTTTCAAGACTATGTCCAAAGATAGGGTGGGTTGAACGGTTAATTGGAATCCTTCAATTAGTCCACTATAATCACAAAATACCCTAATGAATGAGCCCTGGCTCCTAAAAAAAATATTAACAGCAACAACAACAATTGATTCTAATAATGCGCTTTAGAAGACAGAGACTGTCCAATGCAGCTTCAGTTTTAACTCAAATCCAGCAGAATTATCTATAATTTACAGCAAAAAAGGGGTGGTCAATTGATCTGTCTAAAGATTCATAATTCTCTTAATGTAGAGGAAATCAAGTAAAAAATTACTAGATAAAATTATCTAGTATATTAAATCAAATAATAAAAGAGAATATGTACATAAAGCAAAGTTTAGATACGTAATCAACGAATAACCTGATAAGCGAGCGCTGGTTTCAGTAAATAGAATTAAGAACAGAGAACCTTAAGTAAACTGAATATGATTAATATAGAGGTGCAACTTTTTAAGCAAAAGCAAGATTTCCAATTGGGAAACGGGTTGAATTGTGTGGGGCTGGGTTGTGTTGGGTTTACACGTTAAATGGGAAGTCCGCAAATAGCCATTTTAGGGCCTTATTTATAGAATAGCCCGAATTTGCAACATAAAAAAGGTAAAAATTGCACGGGCCGCCCTATTTGGTCGCCCCCATTTAAACTATACTTATTTTTTTTTAAAGTTTTAACTTGTACCCACTTTTTAAACAACTTCAGCCCCCTTCTCCTCCTTCTCCTCCTTCGTTTTCTTCTTCTTTTTCTTTCTTCTGCTACCTGAACACTCCCATGAGAGACTTTATAATGTAATGTGTATGTATGCCTCCACAAATTTCCACTTTTACCGATACAATATTGATCCTTTTGAGATCAATATTGTGTCATACTGTATAAAGCATCAGTCAGCCGCTTGCCTTAGATTATTAGATGAAGTTTCGAAATAAGACGTCGTTTCATATTAAGACAAAGACCTGATGAAAAAATAAGAACATAAATTGCTTTTTACTGGACTAGGTACTTATAATTTAAAGGGGGGGAAATCATACCTAAGTGACGATGAAGTTTAGGATCCTAATGCCTACACTTTTAGCCATGCCAAAAGAATGCAAATGTCATTGACTTAGAGGTACTGAGAAAAATGGTAAAGGACATGCTCATTAGCAGTTATCTGAATGAGATCATACACATTACAGGACAAAAAAACTTCAGCTTTTAGTGCTAAAGTTTTTACAAATGAACTAAATAACTTCAGCATTTTCTGCTGAAGCTTGTGAAAAAGTTTAATGATAAAACTAATGAATCCAGGACAAAAAAACTTCAGCTTATTTAGTGCAATTACAAACAAAAACTTTAGCAAATAGAGAACAAAACTTCAGCTACTATGCTTAAGTTCAGCAATTACAAACAAAAACTTCAGCAAATAGAGAACAAAACTTTAGCTACTATGCTTAAGTTCAGCAATTACAAACAAAAACTTCAGCACACTTGGTTCGCGTCTACTAGAATACTGAAGTTTTGCGTGATTGTCTTTGCTACTTCAGCCCCGTATGCTGAAGTTACGCGAAAAAGTGGGTACACTTGTAATTTTTTTGCAAAGTGGGCACAAGTTAAAACGTGACCCAAAAAGCGGGTATAGATGAAAATCCCCCCAAAAAAAGTTTAAAATTTAATCGCATAAGAATCACTTGAAATTGTGGGCTTGAAATTAGATCTGTCAATGGCTAAGAATCACTTGAAATTGAGGTCTGAAGTTTAAAAGAATTTTTACCTTCTATAGCAAAGGTTGATACCTTATTTATTTTAAATAAATGCCTTTTAAAAAAATTATATTCTATAGCTACCTTTTGATTTTTATAGTCAAATATCTATTTATGGTCCCCTCCTACCCTTAAGCCATAAAATACGGTTTGTATTATTTTTCTCTCTCATTCTTTCAGATTTGTCTCCTCTCTCTCTCTCTCTCTTAACACTTTGTAGAATAGCTAACGAGTTCTCTCCTGCTCTGTGAAGGAAAATCAATGGCAAGTTGGTTCCAGAAATTCCTGCCTAGTGAAGCAAGATTGGAAAATGCAACCTCCTGAAATACTTGTTACGGGGATGAGTAGTGGCATTGAAGTCGGTCCAATCAATTCTTGGTCGACGACCATCACCTTAATAGAAACGTAAGGGGCAAAGGTAGAGTATTTAGAGGCCAAGACAGAGAAATCTGGTGGGTTATCAGAGTACTTGTTACGAGGATGAGTAGTGGCTCTCTCCCCTTGCTTCCTCTTAGTGCGGCCCTCTCGACGAGACGACATTAGGGTTGTTCTTGAACAAAGACGACGGAGTTTGGGGCTGAGCAACTTGAAGATTCTGTTATCTTTTTTTTTAATTGTATTTCAATGTTTCTCGTTGTATTTTCGTGTATTTTATTGTATTCATTGTCTTTTATTCTATTGTATTTCAATGTATCTCGCTATATTCCATGTATTTCATTGTATTCACTGTCTCGCTGTATTCCATGAATGTATTCATATGTTTTTTTAATTAATATAATTTATGTATTCAGATGTATATATGTATTCAAATGTATCTGCAGTATGTATTCAAATGTATCAGTGATGATAGGCTATAATTACGTATTTTAGTCGATTATTACACTCTAATTTACTGTACTTTAGTTGAGTTTGCACTTTAATCGCTAGTGTTTTGCACTAATTGTGTGTTTTATGCCTTGTACGAGTGATTCTGAGCTATGTAGATGTTATGGAATGAATTCAAGTGATTTAGAGATTTGAAGCCTGAGTAAAAGCCCAAGTAATTAAGCCGGGATTGTGTTCGGGGATCAACGGATGATAGTTAGAACGAATGAAGAATCGAGTAAGTACATTGTGCATTGTCTAGTAAAATGGACATAACTTTTTGCTCAAAACTTCATTTGATCTCCACAATATATGGTTGGAAAGCTAACTCAAAGGAATACAACTTTCATGGTTTTACGTTTTTCCAAATTCCTAACAGAATAAGGTGAAAAGTGCGCGTCAAGAGCGCGACCGCACTCAGGCCGCGCACGTCAGGCAGAATCAAAGTGGATATGCATGGTCCAAGCGCGGTCTAGCTAGACCTCCTTAATCTTGTCTCTAACCCTTAGTATCTGTAGTTGTTAATTTACTATTTTAATTTGTTAATTAATTAGTTAAACACAAGAATTTTAATATCTATAAGTTAGGAACTGTTCAAGCTTGTTTTCTTGGTGATAGTGAACAACTGTAGCTAGGCCTTAGTTCTCTGTGGGATTCGACTCTGGACTTGTAAACCGGATTATATTTGCAACAACCTTTTAGTCCTTTTTATAAGGCATAGTTGGGCGTGATTAAATTTTGGCGCCGTTGCCGGGGAACTAACGGTGTAGCTGTAGGTGTACATATTTCTAGATAGCGAGTTTGAACTGTTATTTTTGTTTTCGTGTATTTGATTATTTGTTTATTTTTATTTTTTTTGGTTTTTGATCTGAGAGACATGACATCTTGGAATTATGAGAGTTTTGATGTTGGTAATTCTACTTTTGATCCTCGTTATGCATATTGTGGAGGAAACCATGCAGGGCAAAATTATCAAAATATTTCCGAGAGCAAGTTATGTGCACCAACTCAATCTTATGTGTGGAATATGTGTGATATGTGTGGTAATCAAGATGGTCACTTTCATAGTTGTGCTTACATATCTTATCTTCCACCAACCCCTTACTTTGATGGTTCTTTTTTTTTCTTGTGAAGTTAATAGGAACAAAGAACCCAGGTATGAAGACCTGAAAGAGATCGAGGATATGCTAAAGTGCCTTATGGAACAATATGATAAGATATAACTGCGGGTACAAAGGCAAGGGGCAACTATTCACAACTTGGAGACTCAAACGAATAAATTAATTGAACCTTGTAAAGCGCAACAAGTTGACATTGTGGATAGTAGCCAATATGAGTATGAATTGGCTGTAGAAATTGCCATTATACTGGAGGATTTTAAAAAATACGAGGATGAGCTAAAGGGGAAGGCCAGAATAGAACACCAACAATCAATCGAACTAGATTTTGAGATGCCGATGTCGTAGAAGAGATACTAGAGTCAACCAAGGATATTGAGGATACATATTTAGTTGACTCTAGTATCATTAGTGTTAAGGATGTTGACAATCCCAGTGTTTGTGTAGTTGAGCACATTGGTCCACACTCAAAGTATTTTTCCACCTTGTGTATGGATGATGATATGAAAATAGAGTCGTCCGAGCCACTTGAGGAGTCAAGGAGTAAGGAACGAGATGCCTACATTCTGGAATTATTCGTGCCAGAAAGTTGGGAATACACATCTCATCCGAGGCCAAGAAGTGCAGAATACTACATTATTTTATTGGGTCAGTCATGTTCGTTCTACCACCCAGGAGCATGATCACAGAGCAGAATCAAAACTTGGGGTCCAATTCATAAGTTCGAAGTGGAGGCAAAAAGTCATTCACGTTGTGTCGCGACGTTAAATCAAGCGCTTGTCGGGAGGCAACCAACTTTACTGCTTTCTTTTAATTTTTTTATTATATTATTTTTGTAGTGTCGATTTTCGATTTTCTAGGAGCATGGAAAGCAAAACAATTGGAAGGATGCAATAGCAAACTAGATGGTTGGAACAAAGTGTGAGGTACCCGCACGAAGGACCAGGTCTGGGAGAAGTCTGAGTACCCTATGAGATGCTAGTGCTTTGGCTTTTGGCCTACCAGGGAGTTTTTTTTACCCTCTTGTATGTATGGGTGTGCATTAGGGACAATGCACATTTTTAAGTGTGGGATGAGGAGATTGTCTAGGTGACTTTCTATGCTATTTTAGTTATGTTAGTTTAATTGAATATTTTTTTTTAAATAGAAATGATTGGACTTTTCCTGACGATGGATCTATTAGACAATTTTCTTGAGGGATTTAAGTCTAACGAAAAAAAATAATTTTTTTTGTTAGGTAGTGTAGAAATTCCCCTTTGGTTTTTTTTTTTGTGTCGCTGTTCTTTTCCAAGGGTTTTATTTGAATCGGGTGTAGTTTATCTTTTTTTTACGAATAGGAGCCATTGTGTTGTATTTTGAAATGAAGCAATATCTCTTGACTTTGTTATGCCTTGAGAATAATGAGTAATTTGATTGTGACGCTTAGGCTCAGTTTTTGACTCTGGTATAAGTACCTTAAATTGTATGATTTTAACTTTGTTTAACTGCTTTGACTAGAGTGTCTTGATGAATCCAATCCTGAGTGAGTTATGTGCCATGTGTGTATGAGGTTTGGGTGTTATTGTGTGCATTGCATTTGATGCCTAGAACTTGCCCCGTGTGTTTGCAAAGAGAAATAGTAGTTTTGTTCAGTCTTAGAAGTGATATATGTGTTTCTTTGTTGAGCCAAATATGTATATTTTACCCGCCTAATTGTTATGTATCGTAGTTAACCCCTTTGAGCCTGTAATCCTGTTTTTGTGGCAACCACATTATAAGCCTTACCCATTTATTTGAATT